CTTTACTCTCTTTTAAATAGGCTTTAGAGAGGTACTGAATCCTCATAAAAGGAGTGTGAGGATGCAGGTCTTTCCAAAAAGCACTAGTACCCTCTAATTTACGAGTCTTCGGCGTGCCAAGTAAGGAGATAACCCATCAAAATTTCCAGGCCAGTCACTTTTAGATGTATTTCGGTTCAGAGGCGATGGATTATGCATAGGTACTTAACTTTTCCAGCCAGAATGGGTACCGATAGTGCGTACTGAATTAGTAATTCCTCACTCTACACCAGCTCTCGCTTCTTATCCTGGAGGATTGCAACAAGTTCCAAACATTTCATTTGCATTTACAATCAGACCAAAATTATTTTAGCCTTGTAGATTTATAGAGAATGATCCTGGAAATTGAAGACCAGTTGCAGAGCGTACAAGGTAATTATCTGATTAGAATTCTGAAAGTCAGGTATTAATCGGGCTTAGGTATTTATGAATTATAAAATAAACAGAAGTACGTTCCAAAATATTTTATTTCTCTGCACGAACCTTTTGGAACGTTGAACGCCGTTGGTGGATGAACGAACAATTAGAATTACGTTGTGACGCTGATAAGAGATAAGAATACAGCATTCAAGCATCCCAAAAGCATCGTATTCAGTAAAATAGTTTATTTTTATTCTTACTTGCAATATATTCGACGTGTTTAATGTAGGCTGCAAGGAAACTAAAGCATGAATGTTTCTCAGTTTTAAACGTAACTTGAGGGGTGTGGGCCTTTTGATTTCTGTTCGGTTTTTTGCGTGGGTATCTTCCTGCCGCGCTGGTGTGAAGATGTGGAATTGGTTGTTGATTTCCTGATTTGGAGTTAACGCTTTGCCTGCATTCTACACGCAGCTGAATCTGGCGGTGTTTTATTATGTTCAGGTTTGAAACTGATTTTTACGGATTCCATAAAACTTCAAAAATTGCTGTAATATAGCTGACCTTTTCGCTGTTTTGTCTTTTGGCGACTTCTATGGTGTTCAAACAATAGAGTTTGCACTCGTATTTTAAGTTTTCTTTCGAACGATTGTGCCGTTTGCTAAATTTAATCGATGTATATGATATTGGCCATTTACGATTGTGTTGTGTAGGACGAAGAGACCTGTGAGCTTCTGCAGGTGGAGATCGACGTTAACCTGAACGCCCATCAGAACGCTTGCCAATACTACCAGCAGAAGAAGTTTTCGGCACTGAAAGAGTCGAAGACGATAGAGGCTAGCAAGAGGGCGCTGAAGTGCGCCGAAGTAAAGACCAAGCACGCGCTAAAGGATGTTGCCGTCAAGACCAACATCCTGAAGGCTCGGCGGACGATGTGGTTTGAGAAGTTCCTGTGGTTCCTGTCGTCTGACTCGTATCTGGTGATCGGCGGTCGTGATGCCCAGCAGAACGAGATCATCGTCAAGCGCTACTTAAGGGAAGGCGATGTGTATGTCCACGCTGACATCCGAGGCGCGACTAGCGTCATCGTCAAGAACCACGTCGCCGCGTCGAAGCCGATCCCGCCAAAAACGCTCAATGAAGCCGGCACGATGGCCGTCTGTTTTTCGGCCGCCTGGGATGCCAAGGTACTGACCAGTGCCTGGTGGGTGCACAGCAGCCAGGTGTCTAAATCGGCTCCCGCCGGCGAATACTTGACGACCGGCAGCTTTATGATCCGAGGACGAAAGAACTATCTTACCCCGTCTCAGCTATGGCTTGGTTTTGGTATTCTGTTCCGACTTGACGAAGAGTCGACGATGCGGCATATGGAGAAACTGAAGGAAAGCAGGTTAATTTTCAGCATGTTTTTTTCTAATTTTGCCATCTTTTCTTGGTAAAACAGCATTGTAAGGGACAGCAAGTGGACATTATCTAAGGGGAACCCATGCTTCGCTTCAGCAGTCATCTTTCAGGTCATAGGAGCCACGGCTTTTTTGCGAGTTTTATTGCAATAGATTCGTTATTAAGAAAATACTGTAGATCAGTTTACCTGGAAAAACAGGGTGAATATATGTTCACTATGTTCCGCTGCAGTCTTTTGTCGTTAATGTCAAGCTCCAGTCCACCGGCTGTAAAATCCATATGGGCGAGGATTGTCATCTACAGCATCATGAGTCAGGCAAAACGGTGTGCTCGTCTAATCGGCATGCTGCATTACATCGTATAGGGTGCAGTCTCCAGAAAGGTTTGCTTTCCATTTTCATAAAAATTCCTTGTTCAGTGAAGTTGCGAGAATTTCTGGGAATTTTGCATGGTCTTGACCTTAACTCACTAAAGCCAACTTTATTATGGTGAGCTGTGACTTTAAAGACCTATTTATTAGTATCCCCTATTTTTCAAATCAGCCAATTGTGCCATGCATTCATGGACCATCCTGTTTAGCGACTTTTTTCACAAGATGTCGAGGACATCTTTTCGCCATCTGTTTCAGGAGGTGAAACAGGTGGGATAGCTTTGACCTGTTCATTAATTTCCGTGGAACATTGAGTTTAATCAGTGACTGACGGTACGTGACAAAGTTTTGGCAGTTTTCGCATTGTATTTTTCAGTTTTGTGCCTAAAAAGCATGGATAATGTTCGTTATTCTTCATTTCCCGATATTACCCATCGAACGCTGTTTGGATTTTTTTCTACTTAGTCAACGAATCGTCCGGAAAGTAAAATGAAATTGAATGTGGTCCTATGTCTTACTCCAGTGTCGGTCTTTCTTCACTTTCACGATTGGGCCATTTTAGCGCCCTTCTTTTCATGAAGTTAATGGTGGGGTGCAAATTTCCAATGCTGTTATGCAATCAACCCATACTTTTATAAGACAGAGTTTACAGCCTGTGGCAAGCGCAGCATGTATATTCTTGTTTCTTTTCCTTGTGGTACTTGATTTACTAACCTCGGAAGTAAGAAGGTCGAGTGACCCCGATCGGGACTTAAATTCGGGACCAGTCGATTGAGTTCGACGCCCTACCGACGAGCAACTCCATCAGGAGTACTCCTTGAAAGAAATGAGTTGTTGCAAACTGCTGTCCAGTTCTTTCAAGTTCGTTCACCTTTTTAGTACTGAGATTTTCGCCGTCGAGTGTAAGAATTGCTGTTACTGATTCAACGCTGAACTGTTGCGTTAAGCAGAAGTCTTTGCAGATGTTACCACGTGAGGCCGAAATTTAATAGTCGCAGGAGTAAGCACAGAAAAGATGCTGTTCGCATATTTTAGGGCATCCCTTTGGTTGATCGTTTCTACGCTTGTAATAGGCTTTCACCGTACCATCGTTGCTGAGGGCAACTGATCCCATTGTGCTTCTTATCAGGGCTACTTATTATGCTAATCATTGTCAACCCTACATAAATCGGCAGAGAGATTTAGATTTGAAATGTGGATCAAATAAGCGGAAGAATAGAAACTTTCCTTAAGTGCTTGAGATCGGAGGAACCTGTCGATACCGGAATGAAAAACTGTTTGTGTTAGGAAAGATCTTAGGTCAACTTGCCGGCTTTTTTCACGTAAAGTTGTGAAATTTTGACTTTAAAATCAGAAATGAAACGAATGATAAACCGTATCCGATGCAGCGGAATATGGAACTGTTTATTTTGCAGGTCATTAAAAGGGAGAGACATACCAACTTAACAACGTTGGTAAGAGCACAGTGCAAGATTTATAATGTAATGCTAAAGGAGAGACTGTATAAACGTAACAAGCTGTTCCGGCGCCTTAGTATGTCAAATGATGAATGACTCCTCCAAGACCAGGTTTTACGGTGTATTGCTTCTAGTTGTTTAGAGGGTATTTAAGAAGGCCATGGCGCCATGCTGTTTGAGCTTCTAGCGCGATGTTGCTATAGCGGACAAAATGATGGTGCTCAAATATCCTGTAGTCGTTGCCTATTTAAATGCCCCCTAGCAACTAGGAGCAAGGACGCGGCGCAGTACACCGTGAAATCTGGTCATGGAAGAGTCATTCGTTATTTTAGGAGAGAAACTGAGATGACATCAGACTGATGTACTGAAAATTTTAACCGTTGTAGGGCGACTATAGCTTAATTGCATGACGGAATTGTTAACTTAGTCTGCCTTGGTGTAAATCCCGAAGCGGATAATATGAAATATTTTTTAAAAGTGGTCGCCATTCTCTGACAGAAGTTTCCTACGAATTGAGCAATGGTACATCTCACGAACTGTCTCTGCTACATCAACAATCTTAGAAAAAACTTTATTCAGCACCCTTCGCTTCTAATTTACAATATATGATACATATGAATTGGCTGTAAAATGCCTGGCTATATCGCTATATTGTTCAGGAGGAAGTCTGTTTTTATATCAACATCGACCGTTTCCTTCATAACGGAAATTTACTTGTATTATGACAGATTTAAACAGCAGTTTACGATTAAAATGTAGGACTCGGCTATTATAAACTTTGCGTTTTGTTTCAGTGAAGTAGTAAGCGAAGACACTGCTTCGGTGGAAAACGTAGAAAAATTGCCGAACGAAGCAAGTGATACGATCGATGAAGCGGACGAAGTTTCAGTTGATCCGGCGATCATCGAGTTTTCGGACGTGTGCGGTTCTTTGAACTATTTATCTATGAACCCTACGCCATTTATTGTTGGCCAGAGCGTCAAGCTTCCTCCACAAGAAAGGATATCTAAAGCCGATGCTGGTAGAAAGTTGCCTGACGGCTCTAAAGCCGACGAGACGGATGCGAAGAACGGCAAGAAAAAGGCGCAGAAAGCGAAGCAAAAGAAGCGTCGTATGAAATATAAAAATCAGGACGAGGACGAACGAGCGTTACGTATGAGTATTTTAAAATCAGCTGGCTGCGGTGACGCAACGAAGGTGAATGCAAAGTCGTCTACGCTGTCAAATACTACCGAGAAAGAAGAAACACCGTCGATCTTGGTAAATGATGAGTCCTTGTCGCCCGTTACTGAAAAAGACTGGAGCGAACCAACTTCTGACTCGGTTGTGACAGAAGTACAAGAGACGTCGACACTTTCAACCGAAGTGTTAGAAGCTGAAGCGGAGCCGGAAGAAAACTTGTTATCCTCAGCCGAAGTTGTGAACGACATTTCTGCTCTTACCGGAGATCCTGCCGACGACGACGCGATTCTATTTGCGGTACCGGTTTGTGGCCCGTACTCGGCCATGTCCTCGTACATGTTTAAAGTTAAATTGGCACCCGGCAGCAACAAGAAAGGCAAGGCAACGAAAACCGCTCTGGGCTTATTTCTTCAGGACCGTAGCTGTTCTCAGCGATTGAAAGATTTGCTGAAGGCAATCCACGTTGAAGATTTGTCGAGAAATATTCCTGGAAAGGTTAAACTATACGCGCCTCAACTCACTCATTTCAAAGGTAAAGATCAGAGGCCGAATTCAAAGGTTTAGTTCTTTATTTGAAGTGTACGCAAACTTGCTTATGTAGGCGGTATTTACAAAAGCTATGTTTGTGTGAAAAATGTATGCTGGAATTTGCAAACATTTGATATTCTGTTCAACACAGATGGCATTTCGACAAGGTACGGCAAGAAAAGCACATTTCGATGTTTGTTCCTTTGATTTGTTTGTTAATTCTGTCTAGTTTGTCGCTGTTCACTTCATTAAAATGATATTTTATGAGTAAGTTTGTTAACTTATGTTGTTCATTTCTTTAAACTACGTGGTACAGCTGCGAATCACCACGAATTCTTAATATACATTTAACTCTGTTTTGTGATTCGCGCAGATGTTAATGCCTCACTAATCAAACAATCCGCTTTGGCAACAGGCATTTAATTTGTGTCCTTTCCGATAACCGCTATGAGATGCTATGGGTTTTATGGTTTTCAAAGTCTGGCAAATTAAACGTTTTTAAACAAACGTCACATTAGCTTAATTTAAGAGGTGAGGTCAAAATCTTTTAACAAAATATTTTTAACATTTCACTGTTCGAAAGCACTGAAAATTAAGACTTTGTTGTCACAGTAATTTTTGGCAAACAATAGGCCGTCAGGGAGGAAATCTGAGAAAGCAAAATCTGACTTAGACAGACTGAAACCTCTGAGGTAGTTATTTCTGGCGCAATCAAGCAAACGTGTGGCGACTTTTTTTCTTCGAGTAAGTGGGCAAACCCAGACGAGACTAACGCCGAAAACCACATCTCTTGATCGCTCTTCAATCGACCCGTCATCAAGCTGAAAATATGCCTTTTGCACTGGTTCGACACACATAATTCCTAAATAATCACTTGAATCAAGTAGGAAGAGCATAAAGAAATAACTGCGATATTGCGCACACAGATACAGCAGAGAATTATGAATATTTATTGAATTCCACGTTGCAGTCGATTAAAATTAACTATTATCATAAAACTGTTTTGGAAGCACCGGAAACCACGTAACCACATCATCTCAAACTATTTTTAACCCACAAACACAAAAAGGCCAACAGCAGGCATTTACGAGTGATCGCTGTGTCCGGAAGAGAACGAGCCAAAGTACTTTGAAGAAACGTACAGATATTGAAAAAGTTTCGATCTGTTACGAAAGTTGGCTAGGTGTAACCCCTTCATTTCACATTTCAGCCCTTAAGCTGCTCATGTAGGAACCGAAACAAGATGGACCGATCACATGAGAAGAGTTAAAAAGACAAGACAGATGAAAATATACACGGATCTGTGTTCAGCATACAGGAACTATTCCGTCTACTGTGTTGCAACTGGTGACTTATGGCAAAATAAGTTAAAAAACTGGGAACGCAACAGATATTAGAAACTACTCACGGTGACAAACACAATGAACAACAGCATGCGTTATGCGCACGTTAATAATGACAATAATAAAAAGCCATACCAGTAATTGAGATGCCTTTAATTTCTTGACAGAACACATATATCTGTTGCTTGGGCTTGTACAGAGGTAAAGGAGAGTCGTTAGAAAGACCGACCTCGCTGCATGCCAAGCGATACGCATTATCCAACCATTCTCTCATTTTAGGCGCGAACGATTTGTTGTCAAACATGCAAATGAAGCCATCGTCGTATCTGTCAACTTCAGGAAGTTTCTTCGCCAGATAGCGAGGCAGCGGCGCAGTCAACTTCTGATCAAACCTCACATGCAACTTTTGATGTTCCGTCATATCGTCTGGATTGTTCGGGTTATACAGGAGTTTGCAACTGTCGCACAGTATCGGCAGAAAATTTTTCTGGCCGGCATCGATTACCATTTGAATTTCCTTGCTGTCGTTCTCCTCTAATCGTTTGCGCTTGGCCTTTTTCTTACCGCCCGTTGTACTAGCCCTTCGACGAAACTCCGGTGGGCAGTCGCTGCCAAAGTAATCATACAATGTTTTCTGCCTCTTCTGAGGTTGAAATTCTGAAATTCAACGGTTTTGCGATTATAAACAAAGTTTGAAGGTGCAGAAATTTTAGCTAAATTAGCAGAATAACAACTGAACGGCAGATCAGATACTGACCTACGCCTTTAGCTATTAACTAAAAAGTTAGCAAAGCCTAAATATAACATGAATGCAGTTCTTAAGTGTTTACGCAACTGTTTATATTGGATGATCGCTGGAATAAAATTTAAAAATCCTGTACGGGATGACAATTCGCTGAATATATCCTCCAAACTTTCGAACCACACCTAAACGCCTCATGGAGCGACAACCTGCTTCTCAAAGACGGTTCGAATACCGAAATGTTGGAGAATACGTACATAGTAAATCTGCTATGCCATGCTATTTCTAAAAGGAATTTCGCATAAGCGATTCAACGTCGGTTTTCAAAGATCGTCGAGACGTGCAGAAATGAAAATAATTTTTTCCGGAAAAAGTTACTCTTAGTTTTCCTAACATTACCTTAAGGACGATCATCAGACCTCCAATATAAACACTCCAATTCGTCAGTTAATTATTCTTTCGTGAACATTTGTGAATCTCGCCTATCGGTAGTTCATTTGTACAGGAACCTGAATCAAATGTATTCAGAATCGAGTAAAGTACATTAATGTAGATGTCGTGACAATAAACAAAAGTCGATATTTAACGGAACCTTTAAGTCAGTAAATAACAGTAGTGCCAGTAACTAACAACAGCGAAGACAGCAGGACAACGGTTAAATTATGAGCTGCGTGGGAGCAGTAGATGACAGAAGGTGAGTACACCTTTACCAAGACAGGGAGGCAACGCCGGGCTAGTTACGCCACTATCTGCCAATGGATCATTGATGCCTGGACCAAAGTATCGGTCTCAACTGTCGTCCGAGCTTTCTGGAAGGCCGAAACCATCACTGAACAGTCAAACAAAAGCAACGAGACTGACTCAGACGATGACGAGAAGAATCCAAGCATACTTGATGCCTAAATCGCCCAACTGTTAAACTCAGACACTGAGGATGAACAATTTGACGGATTTATAGAGGAATGACTGAAAAATTGGGTGTATTTTTCTGCACTGGTGGTATTTAACGTGTGTTACAAGTATACAATATTGACTGTTAATGTTACTGTTGCAGTTATTGTTACACGTGAACAGTTTGACAGATATTGTTAATGAGTTGAATAAAATCTGATCTACCTGACTGTTTTGTTTCGCTTTATGCGCCTTATAATCCGGTTAGCCTTATGTATGAAAAAAGATCTTAGATAGTGCATTAATAGTTAGCGCACCTTATAATCCGGTGCGCCTTATGGTCCGAAAAATACGGTAGCTGCTAACTCCCTCTAACAAGGAATTCGCTCTACTGCACTTCAGTGAAACTAGCCGAGGAGTAGTAAATGCTGACTGCGAACAGGATAGTTTTAGGTCCTGCCAGGGCGCGCAAGACACAGCCACACTGTCTGACGTCTCAAGGCTACAATTTTAATATTTAACATAAAAAGATTCAAAAAGTGAGCATAAAACGTAAGGATTCGGCAATATTTTTAAGGTAATGCAGCATGATAAATTATTAACTTAGATTTAATTTTACTTACCAGCAAACATGGCAAAAGCACAGAATAGAATTGAAAGATAGGTTAGAGATAATGTCGCCGAACATTGGGCGCGCCGGATATTTCACAACATACCGTACGCAAACATCAGGTTTAAATATATGAACGTGATTATCAATATTAGCGCTAGCGGTAAAGATATCGCAAAATGAGTAATTTCCAAAGCAATAGGATGCGATGTACATGCGACTGCACATATTGCAATCAGACTCAATATAAAGAATAAAATTGCAAATTCCTCATTCAGTATTATAGAACAACGGTAATACGGTGGCCGCCAGGCGACTGTGACATATATCTACCTGAGAATATGCCAGATATTTAAAAAAAACTCTAAAATGTACCACAACTGCATCACGCCACCTTATGGAATTTCGAAGATTTCATATTTTCATGCTGATTCATTCCTAATTTTAAACACTGTAAATTTTACTGGCATCCTCTGAAACTTATCTACAGGGCTCCCTGGAAAGGTTCGTAGCCGAGTGCGACGTGACCGGCATGCGTGTGAACGCACCTAAGACGAAAGGCCTAGGGCTTTTTAGTTCTCTTGTCAGTTGCTCTCATCATGTTAACGGAGAGGCAGTGAAACAGGTGGAAAAGTTCAGGTGCTTCAGAGTCGTATTTTCTAGTGATGGAAAATTTGAGGAAGAGATGGACCGACGAATTAAAGTAGTCAGTGATATTCTGCCTGAACTAGCCTAAACTGTTGTAACTAAGCTCTCTATGTTCAAACCCATCTTCATTCCAATGCCTACCTACGGTCAAGAATCATATAAATGGGAAAGCTTCGATTGCAGGTACAAGCGGATGATCTGGGCTTTCTAAGAAGATTCCCTGGATTTATGCGTCTGGACATGGTTCGTAGTACAGAAATCCACGAGAGCCTTTGTGTACAGCCGCTCCTTCTACAGACTGAGAAATCACAGCTTTAATGGTTTGGACACGTGTTGCGAATGCCTCCAAAAAGGTTGGCAAAGGTACTAATTCTTGCCCGGTCGATCGCAGGAGACCCAGAGAACGACTGTGATTGACTTGGTGCAAGTGTATTTAAGCAATCGGACGCAAACTCCAGGCGTTTTCTGTCGACGCCGGAAGCTGGCACATAATCAGGAACGTTGAAAGGTCTGCCCGTCGTGGCTGCTCCCGCGACTCATCAGGAGAAGCAATCTTGGAAAATGCATGAATGAGTATATTAAGCCCAAAACTTTACTTTTAGCTTTAATTCGGCTATGTACAAAAGAGGTGCTTTTGAAACTTCACACTGAAGGAAGGTTATTTGCCACAGAAAACAGGAACTCTTGAGATGAACCGATGCATGATCAAATGACAAATGTTATTTTCTGTTCAAAAGGAATGAGAATCAGGTTGAAATACGTCCTCCACAAGATTTAGCATACGCTCTTCATTTGTCTATTTCATGTTTAAAGAATTTCAGCAAAAAATCAAATTCTATCAAACTCGAAGGTCAAACTTTTGTATCTTGTTCAAGTAGGTACCCCTATTGTAATGCATTGTACAAAGAAAGGGATTGCAGTTAAGCAAATTCAGAATGTAGCTCTGCCGTTTGTCACATTTATTGTACATGGCTGCAGGCAATAAGAAGGAATAGGAAGAAAGGTGATAAATGGAAAGCGGAGCATGTGATCTGCTTCCTCTAAGCAGATAGAAAGTAGTTTGTTCCATCGCAAGAAAATGCAGAACGGAGGTGACTAAAACAAAACTTTTTATTTTTCTTGCTGAAAATCATGAAATGAAGAGATCTAGTAGCATCAGATTATTTTTAAAACCGAAGAGAAAGGCGTATGGATAGACGTTCTAAAAATTAGAAGCCAGGTGCTGTTATATCAGATTACTGGGGCAAAAACTTTTGGCGAAAGGAATGCATGGAGAGATGCCGTGCTGTCAAGTTGTTGAAGAACGGACTATCAAATCATGTAAGCGGTGTTTTCTTGAATTTGCTTAGCTTCAATTTTAATACTGAGGCTATAGCACAGATAATCAGGATTTAAGATATGGATAAACACAATGTGAATAGTAAACTACATCACTTTGTGAGGGCGAACCTTTTTAGGGGCCTTTGCCGGGTAGTGACGTGAGTTGACAGAAGGGAGCAATCAAAAACAAATGTCTCCGTGTTTTTCAAAAATGTCATTTTATTTACTATTTCCAAGTTCTTTGTACAATTGTAGCTCTCTGGTCGAAATGTATTCATGCGACATATTTCACATATGATCTTGTTACGTAGAAAATATCTTTGTTTGTTCTCCGTAATTAGTTTCAGTTTGCAAATTGTTTTCTTTCTTAAGTGCAAATAATGCAGAGTCTCTCTGTCCATCTATGTTGCTATCAGTATTTGTGGAAGTTTTATCTATTTTTCTGATGCGGTGATATTCAAACATTCTGAATCGTGGATTAACCGCAGTTTTGTAGGAGAGTGAGAAAGTTTCGGTGGACTGCTTATTACTGTAACCTTTCTCTAAGCTTCATCCGCAGTTTCTGAATTGTGATTAAAGTCTCTGATTCAGTCAGTTTGCAAACTGAGAATGCGTGTAGGATGCATAGCCTTTCTAGCTACGAATATACGCCTCTATGCCTTGACATATTTTTGCCTTGAAATTCACATCGACTTGTAATTAACCCTCGCTCACCTCCGGAACAACATTTTCCAAAATATTCGATTCAGCGTAGCTTCTACTGAGAAGATTTGCATTAGAATTAAGCGCTGCATCTTAATACTGAATTTTACACTTGTTCCTCTGCGTCGACAATCAAAATTTAAACGAAGAAACACAGTTTGTATGGAAAGTTTTGATGCACAGAGACCAAGACACTGAATATTTCTCCATTCCCTCAAATGCTTTGTTTTCTTACAGTTTCGATGTTATCGGATGCTTCAAACTGGTAGAAAACGGAAAACAATACGAAAATTAGATGGTAGAGATGCGCTTGTGCATAATGTTTGTCATTGCGACGACAAATAGATAATGTGAGGACAGTTTTCATGCGGTTTGTCTTGCATAAATTCAGTCTATAAAATTGTTATGAAATTAGCGAAACAATACGATGGTAACTGCCATGGAAACCGCAAAAACTGTTAGGTTCCGAGGCACTGGCAACAACAAGCTGCCAGTTTTTCTTTCATCGTTTATCTTCTTCCATATGGCCTAATAACGGCTGATCGCTCTCATAGTTCCGACAGAACTCCAAACAATCACACCATTTGTATAGTCTTTAAAAAATGTCCGGATATTCTGATTGAAAAGATCAGGACTATGAGTATCATTTGTATTTAACCTTAAAAACAGCAAATTTGAGTTCGTCTATCGTCCTATGCACGAACGAAGAATAAAATTTGCAAAGGAATATGAAACAAATATTCGTCAACCGTGGGGTAATAAGCTAATAAGCCTTGACTACACAATTAGTTTTTAGACACTATTCGATGAAAAAAGTTTCCTGCCACTGGAATGTCGCTCCTACATACAATATCATAGGACAGTCTAAGACGCCTTTCTTTTCATGAATTTAATACTGGAGAGCTGATCTTTATTTCTGTGTCATATCTAGGATTGCCTTATCTTAAAGGTGGAATCAAAGGCAGCTATGTGTAGGCATGACTTTTAGACCCCTGTTTCCTTCCTTTGGAGTGGTACTTATTTATCAACCTCAGAAAACGAATGACCGCGAGCGGGGCTCAAATCCGGCAAACAGCCAACTTTTTTGAAGCGAATCCGACGCTTTATTGACTAAGCAATCACGATGTAAAGAAAAGTTTTGCTACATTTAGCTGAAAGTGAAACTGACGTCAGTCGTTAGCTGCGATGAAAACGTCTTTGAACGGTACGAAACGTCCTTGATCTGACAGTGGTCAATGAATCGCTTGTAACCTTGACTTTTTAGTGTATGCGCACAATGAATATATTGCATATTGGTTCATGCATACAAAAGTTTATACAGCACACGTGACTCAAGTTAATTTCTTTGCACAAGCGGAAATTGAAGAAGCACGGCTGTCGGTAAAAATTTTCACGCCAATCATCAACAAAGCGGCTGATCCAATGGGTGAGATGTCAAAAAACGGTCTTCGACATGTTTCGTCACGCTTGAATTTATGCAAAATGATACAAAACCGTAGATGCAGGTTTAATAGCTTCACATTTAGAGTTGTCTGATTTCTAAGTTCGATGCGCAAACGAGCAGTGATCACGAACAAGGATCATCAAATGGAAAAGACAAAAGTTTCTGGCAAATCGAGAGGATTTGTTGGATGGCGGATGCGCACGCGCGACACAAGTGCGGTCGCCAATAGGCAAAGAAGACGTGTTAGTCCGAGTGCTCTCATCTGAGATGCTATCGCATGTGCTGGTGTCTGTTGTGCTGTTCATGTCGAGGCAGTTTAACGAACAAACGAGTTCCCGTAATTGAAAGTGGTAATTCATTATCAAGGTAAAGACTGCGAGTGATGGAAGCCGCCAACTGCAAAGCGCCAGACAGGAGACAAGGCAAGCAAGAGGCAGCAAATTTCATCGCGCAGTGATCAGGGCAGCTGGCGTTGGTCCATGGAGAGACAAGCATTGTTTACGTGGCATTGATTACCATTGTTAACGTGGCTTTGCGCGAGTCGACAACCTACGAACGCTGCGTTATGGCATCAAGCATCCTGTCCAGTCACTTTTTTCTTCTAGCGACTATCGCATCCACATGGAATCACTTCTCTGCCTCCTCCGCCGCCGTTGTCAGTTTCCAGGTGTGCAGCAGCCCCCCGAAGTGGACATCCAATGGCCAGGACGTAATGCACGATCTGCTCGGCAACGTTACTCTGCTGGCGCTTGCGGACCTGAGTGACAAGTTCTGCCAGTCACAGGTCATCGGGTGAGATCTGTCAGCGAAAGCCCAGTAAAATATTTTATGACACTACACTTTAGTCTGGCACGATTGGCTGATGTCCTAAAGCAGCATTATAATCAGGGGACAAAATTCGTGATCGTGGCAGGTCGGAACGATTCTCCAGTCCTCGTCGACCGCTATCGACGCACTGTCAAAGAGCAGAGCATCTTATTCCTGCACGAAACGGCAGAAGAGCCGATATGGGACGTGGTCGGCGGCAACAGGAACGATTTTTTCATCTACGACAGGTTGTGAACCAAAATATTCATTTCGCTGACAGGCGGTAAGAACTTGTTTTTCATTCTAGTTGTGGGCGCCTCAATTATTACATACCGTACCCGCAGAGTTTCCTCTACTATCATTACACGACATCGTCGCTGCACTCGGCCCACCGTGACCAGCGATGTGGCGCGTGCGACCCAAACAAGGTCAAGAATATCCGTCTACAGGTAAGTATAACGCAGCGGCGACATCTTGAATTTATCTATGTCAGACATTGTCTTGCAGCACGTAAAGGCATGGATCCGACCGGAAAAAGGCAACGACGCCGCTGGCCAAGTGAAAATCATTGCTCGACCGAACACGGGGGGTAAAAACAGCGTCATCATTTCTACATCCGAACGACCAACGGTGCGATACACTATCAACCATGAGAAGAAACCGAGCGAAACACGCAAAACGTGGACGAAAAGCTACGATGCAGAAATGATGATGACGACAACTGCGTCCACGACCAAACACAAGCATCGCCATGGCGATGTAGCACGCTCATACGTCGGCGGCAGCGCATCGACTACGTCGCCAATTGAGGGAAGCACTGCAACAGTACTCAGCAGCAGATCCGCAGCAGATCCCTCTTTTACCTCACCCAGTAAAATAAATGTGGCGGATGTGACCACCCACAGAGTTGAAATTGAACTGAACGAGACCACTGCCCAGATATCGGCGGCGTCGCCGGTTACCGAACCATTCAGAACAAACGAAACAAAGGAAAATCCTGTAGGGCCGGCCGTGAGAAGTGAAGAAAGGCAACAAGTGTCATCCGACACGTCTACGTCTCAGAACGGAACAGAAGAGACTGAAACTTTCTTTCTCGTTGATCACCCTCAGCCGACGCTTAACTGCACAAGCTACACTGATAGCTTCTGCTATGAGCAACAGCTAAAGGGAATGCAGCTTAATCAATGCTGCAAAAAGGGAGTTTATGTGACGGATATGTGCTCTGCTGATAGATGCACCGAAGAAACGCGCGCTCTGTGCTGCTTTCAGAAATTTCAGCAGGTGAGAGCGTAAACATTAATCCATATCTACGGTAGCGGTGACACTGTGGATTCCTGTTTCGTTTGCGTTTCAGAATTACGTTGTCAGAATTTTTCAATCTAGTTTTCTTGAGCAGAGAAAATCCCAGTGTGCTTCATTGCATCTATCCAAAAAAGCGAATATCAAGACATTGACCTGCTGACAGTAGAGGCAACACTTTGTTCTGGAATGATCTTTCAGGACGTGCGAGACATGGTTCTTGTTGCCTGATACCTGCTCCTTAAAAGGGTTGCAATTCGCTGAGATCCACCTGACAGCTGATTAAAAATCAGCACCAGATGTAAACTGTGAATTTAAAACAATTATTATTTATCAATGAAATATCAAATTAATTACAGTATACCTGTCTTAACCTTCATCTTTCATCCCACTTTCACGTGTTGTGGGCGCGCGACGCAAATATGCGCTTCTCCAGTTTTCTCTATTCTTGAGCGTTTTTTTGGCAAGGGCATGTTCGGCACTGCATTCAGGTTGCCAATCTTCACAAATTATTGCTGATTTCTCACCTTCATATAGCCCTATGGATTCGGAGGAGTGAAACACCTTGCGAAGCTTTGATCACCAACAGATATCATGACCA